GACATTGAAATTACAAACATAAATTCCAAAATACAGCTACATTAATTCTGAAAACATTGAAGTAACAAACATAAACAGACAACTAGTGAACTACATAAGCTAGACAATAACGTAAATGGTTTAGTTTCACAAATCTCCTCCATTTTGTTTCTCGTTCTCCCTCTCCCCTTTTTCCTTACGAAAATTAAACTTGACAGAGATATCAACGTCATTTTCTTCGGTTATTTTAGCAACATGCTTTAACAAACCCGACAACTCGTCAACTTTCGATGTAGTACTTGATTGACCATCATATTGGCAATACTCATCTTCGTTGAGCCACTTGAAATGAGTGCAATCCTTAGTACAATAGAAGAATAACCGACCTAATTTTTTAGTCCTCTTTTCAACCTCCATGCATTTCTGAATTCCCTTGCCGCATATTGGGCTCGATTTCTTAATCGGATAATCCAATAAGTAGTGGCCCGATTTCCGACAACCATGACAAATCCCTTTATTCTTTCCCCCATTATAATCTGCTGATGCAGCCAAAAAAAAAATAAAAAATAAAATCAAGAACGAACATTTATGCTTATAGAACCGTGAGAACTTATACAAATGGCAGTTAAGCAACAAGACATATGACATAATTACATCTTCAAACATTTACATACCTTTCAAGAATACTTTAAGCTAATTCTATAATCAAATAAAGATATAAAGACGATATGTTCTTATCTGTCATGTTAGAAGAATCAAAGAACTCGTTCTATAAAAGTATTTCCAAGGTAGCAGATGTTATTCACAAATTTTTGTAATCATCACTTTAAATAATTGGCTCTCTTCACAAAACATTATCAAATGGGAGGGACAGTGAGCCTTATTTTTAACAATTGATGATGGTCTTAGTCTATCTCGGATGAGGCATTATTGAATTCAATACAGTTTAAGGAAGGAAGGAATGAATGAATGAATGGATCAAAGGCTGAAGAAGTAAGAAAAGTTATCAATCCATTTATCCCAATAATCCACATTTCTGATAATTAAAACAACCAGAGGCTATAACAAACGATACCAACAGATTTCAAAATAAAAGGCAGCATATATATAATAAAATCACCAAAAAAATTTCTCAATTCTTCACGTCTTTACCAACAAATTTCATAAAATAAAAAGGCAGCATATATATAATAAAATCGCCAAAAAAATTGAATACATATATAGAATGCAACATATTTCTAAAGCAATAACAAAACTCANGCCAAAAAAATTGAATACATATATAGAATGCATCAGATTTCTAAAGCAATAACAAAACTCACCAAAGAAATTTGAAAACACAATTCCTTCAAGCCAAAAACTCAACTCTGGGACAAAATATTTACACCGATCTGATATTTGTGACAAATGTATGGAGATTCCAATCTAGTTTGGAAATTTCCCCCGACGGGCTTCTCACCGATTGGAACAATTGGGGGTTTAGGGTTTTTGAGAATGATTTGGGACAAAGGGATTTCACGGCTTGAGTTTGGGGAGAAAATGAATTGGGTTAGACTTACAAGCGATTACTTTAGAATCGTGTTTTTGAAAATTAGCAATGGCGTGTTTGGTTGGGAGCTTGCTTATTTGGCTAATGAGTTGGCCAATTATAACTTATTTGGAAGGCTTTAATAGGCTAAGTCATTATTCCGTCATCCACGTAGACGCGTCTGTTAACGGTTTGACATGGGTGAGTGATGGAGTTGGACGGAGCGAAGTTCAGTGGCCACCGAGACAATTTTGAAAGTTCGGTGAGTAAGTCGTGACACAACCCAAAGTTCAGTGGTTAATAAAACATTTAACTCATATATAAGAGAGAAATAATTTTTTATGTCATTATCTATGAAGCCAAGCTGCTCAATGACAACGTGATAAGGGAAGACTTTCGTAAACTTACATCGCTTCACTCGTCAATCACCACGTTTGACCCCCTTGACAAGCTAGCCCACGCTCGCAAATGGGGTGAGCCTAGCACGAGTTGATTTGTTTTCAAACATCCAGCTCGTGGGTCAATAATTTATTTAATCAAAAATTCAATTTTTTTTCCCAACTGCTCGCCAACGAGTGGTTTGTATGGAAAAATCCAACAAAGCTAGGCTTCCTTGTAGATGTGGCCCTCAAGATGCGTGAGTTGAGCGATCGCACATGACATCATCATTGTAGGGGCACCAAAAAAATAATTTGTTATTTGTGTGTGTGTGTATATATATATATACTAGGTGAAAGCA